CTGAGCCTGGGGGTGCTGTGCCTGGGGGTGCTTCGTCTCGCCGGGAGCCACTCTCCCCACAGGAGCTGCGTGAGTGGTTTGCCAGGCGCTGGAGGCGTGCTGCTGGTGCTGGTGGTTCTTCGGGTGCAGAGGGTACTGCTGCCGCGCGTCCCGGCGGTGCTCGTACTGTGGGTGCTGGAGCTGCTGGGTCTGAGGGTTCTCCTGGAGCTGGTGCTGCTGAGGGTGTTGGCGCTGTGCCTGCCGCTGGCGGTCCGACTGACAGTGCTCCTGGTGCTGCTGCTGGAGGTTCTGGTGCTGCTGGAGGTGCTACTGTAGTGGGTGCTCCTGCTGGGGGTACTGGTGCTGTTCCTGCTGTTTCTGGCGTCGCCGCGCGGCCCCGACCGTACTTCGTTCCGCTCCTGCAGCAGGTTCTTGGTCTTACACCTCCTCCTCCCTTAGAGGGTCCGCAGCCTGTCCGGTCACAGCCACAGCTACAGCCTGCCTCCCCTTTGCCTGCTCCTTCTCCCTACGCTGGTCCGACTGGAGGTCTTACTGAGCGTCGTGGGCCTGCGTCTCGTCCTGCGTCGCCTGTTCCAACTGAGCGCGCTAGTGGTCGCGGGTCACATCAGCGTCCTCCTCCTGTCCGTGGCACGCACCGGATGTCACTGCGTCCGTCCACTGCTCCTCTGCGTGCCCCTTTGCCTTCTCCTCCTGCTTCCTCGTTTCCTGCTCTTGCCGACCCGGAGTCGGACTCTCTTCGTGCTGCCAGTCCTACTGTCACGCGTCTCCTTGCTACTGCTGTCACTGACCCTTCCTTCGAGTCGTCTGCTGCGTCTGCCCTTGTCACTGAGCTTGTCGACTTTGCTGCACGCTGTCGTCTAGACTACGCTGCCAGTCTTGTCGCTGAGTCTGCGTCTGCCTGTCCTCCGTCCGTCGGGGGTGAGTGTGCCCTCGGCACGGACGTCCTTGAGGACAGGCAGGAGGAGTTCCAGTGTCTGGCTGCCGCTTCACCTCATCTCCCGTCTGTACTGCTAGCCCCTGAGGGAGACCCGGATGCACCAGACATCCCGACTCCGCGCTCTTACGCGGAGGCGATAGAGGGTCCCTACTCCTCTCAGTGGCAGGCAGCTATGGATGCAGAGATGGCTTCCTGGAAGTCCACAGGCACCTACGTCGACGCTGTTCCCCCTCCTGGGGCGAACATCGTCAGTGGCATGTGGATTTTCAGGTTGAAGCGGCCGCCGGGTTCACCGCCTGTCTTCAAGGCGCGTTACGTGGCTCGTGGCTTCAGTCAGCGGCAGGGGGTTGACTACTTTCAGACCTTCTCCCCCACCCCGAAGATGACTACTCTTCGGGTTCTGCTGCACGTTGCTGCTCACCGTGACTACGAGCTGCACTCTCTCGACTTCAGCACAGCTTTCTTGCAGGGCAGTCTGCACGAGGAGATCTGGCTGCGTCGCCCACCTGGCTTCACTGGGTCTTTCCCTCCTGGTACCCAGTGGAGTCTCCGGCGTCCAGTCTACGGTCTCCGCCAGGCGCCACGTGAGTGGCACGACACACTGAGGACTACGCTCGCGGCACTTGGGTTTGCTCCGTCTACTGCCGACCCGTCGCTGTTTCTGCGCACCGACACCTCTCTGCCGCCGTTCTACATCCTCGTGTACGTCGACGACTTGGTCTTTGCCACAGCTGACATTGCTGGACTCGCCTACGTGAAGTCCGAGCTGCAGAAGAGACACACGTGCACTGACCTGGGTGAACTGCGCAGCTACCTTGGCTTGCAGATCACCCGGGACAGAGCGTGCCGCACCATTACCCTGACTCAGTCACACATGGTGCAGCAGGTCCTTCAGCGCTTCGGCTTCACGTACTCCTCGCCTCAGGCCACTCCTCTGCCTACTCGCCACTCACTCTCAGCTCTGCCTTCGGATGAGTCCGTAGAGTCGAGTGGCCCGTTTGCAGAGCTTGTTGGCTGCCTCATGTACCTGATGACCTGCACACGTCCTGACCTTGCATACCCTCTTAGCATTCTCGCACGCTATGTTGCTCCTGGGAGACACCGACCAGAGCACATGGCTGCAGCGAAGAGGGTGTTGCGCTACTTGTGCAGCACGTCGGGCATGGGGCTTGTGCTTGGAGGGCGCAGTCCAGTGGTCCTCACTGGGCACGCAGACGCTTCTTGGGCTGACGACCAGGCTACGCAGCGGTCGTCACAGGGTTACACCTTCAGCCTTGGTTCCGGCTCTGTTTCGTGGCGGGCTACCCGCTCGTCTTCTGTTCTCGGCTCCAGTTGTGAGGCTGAGATCTACGCTGGGGCTATGGCTGCGCAGGAGTTACGTTGGCTCACCTACCTGCTGACCGACCTTGGAGAGCAGCCTCGTTCTCCTCCAGTCCTGTACGTAGACAACAAGGCCATGCTGGCCTTGTGTCGAGAGCAGCGACTGGAGCACAGAACGAAGCACATTGCTCTCCGCTACTTTCTTGCTCGTGAGCTACAGCAGCGTGGACAGTTGCGACTTGCGTACGTGGCCTCTGAGGCCAACACTGCTGATGTCTTCACCAAGGCACTTGCGCCTTGTGATCATCAGCGTTGTTGCACGCAGTTGGGTCTTGTGCCTGTCTTGCCTCACTTGCTCTCCTCTTGACCTTGCTTGTACCTTCGCCTATATACTCTTGTTCTTGCTTGTTTGCCTCTTGTATATCTCTATATATGATCTTGCATGTGAACTGGCCTTCTGGCCTTTGAACTTGTGCTCGGAATGCGTGGTGACTTTGTGATCCACCCTGAGCTTTGCTTTGCTTTGCTTGACTGGTCTTGTGACCCCTTGTTCTCCCCCACTTTGCCTATGGGGGTGTGTCGGAACATATAGCTTACTTGTTTCTGTAGGCTATAGTGGGGTATCCCATAAGGGGTACAACCCAATCAGGGTTTCCTATTTGTACTCACTTCGTTCATAGTCATTTCATTCTCGTTCACTTCTTCTCAGCCCATATCCTCTACCAGCTCCAGTAAACGGTTACAGTAGGCCAACAGCGACTCTGCCGGCGCTCTTATGAAGTCTTGAAACTCCGCCATCCGGTTAGCCGAATGCCCCGGGAACTGCTCCTGCAGGCTATCCAAGAAACGGTCAGTAATCTCTGCCGGTAAGATATCTCCTCTGTTGCTCCGCATCAGCAGCCCCTGCCTCTCCACGCGGTAATGAGTCAACGCCTCTCCTTTGAGAGTCAACGCCTCTCCTTTGAGTGTCCTCCCCAAGCCTCTGAAAAAATCGATAGGATCCAGTCGCTCCTTGTCCCAGCAGTAGCGAATGTCTTCAATCATCATCAGGTAGTTTTTCAGCGTGGGCTCCTCTCCAGGTGCCCCCGAGAAGCGGTCTGGTACCTCAATTTTGGGTGGTGCAATACTCATCGACCTGCCTGTCCCCCAGCTTGTGTTCCCTCGTTCTCCACTCCCTGCAGGTCGCCCTGCTCTCCCGGCCTCCGTGGCTTCGTATCCTCCGGCAGAGAATCCGTGATATGCTTCCCCGCCTCGCTCACTTCGTCGTTCCTTCGATTGATCGTCTCCTCCCCTCAGACTACGCCTTTCTTCTCGTTGATCTTCTCCTCCCCTCAGACTACGCCTTTCTTCTCGTTGATCTTCTTCTCCTCTCAGACTCCGCCGTTCTTCTCGATGATCTTCCCCTCCCTTCTGACTCCGTCGATCTTCATGTGGATCGTCTCCTCCCAGATCTGGATTTCCTCGGCGAGATCCACTCCCCACAGGTCGCTCTCCACTCCCCTCCGCGGGCGAGTCGCATGCAGAGCTCGGCTGTTGTTCTCCGTGTACACCTCGTTCTTCCTCCCGATCCCCGCCTTGGTTACCGCGTGGGTTCGTCCCTCCTTCGCCTGCCCAAAATCCAAGCATCCTGACCGGCGGATCACGTCCCTCCATCATCCTCGCCGGGAATCGGTGTCCAGAGCGCAGTTGATGAGTGTGAAGCTCGCGGTCAAAATTACTCATTCCTCACGGTGCATCACCGCGAGCAACTCCAGGCAGTAGATCCTGCCACCTCTACTCTCAACAATCGTAATCCTGACCACCCTTTTTGCTTGTATGAAACAAGGCTTATCTCCCTCGCAAGGGCTCCACCGATTTACTTCAGCTCCTCTCTACTGCTAGTTCCCCGTGGATTAGGAAAGCACAATTGCAGTAAATGAGAAACATACAAGCAAAAAGCAATGAGTCTGAGCGCTACTTCCGTCTGCATCCTCTCCTGCCTAGGTGCCTTGTCCCGCAAGCTACCTCTACTCCTAAGCGAGAGTCAGCCGAGCTGATCGCGTAGGCTTCAAGGTGCTAGCTGGGTCCCACTGGGCCCACTAAGCATGCACCGCCTTCCAGCCTGTGAATGTCGAATTGAATTCCCAGGCTGGCTGGAATCGAATTCGCCCTCATCCTCCTCACCAACCCCCTCGAGCTCCTCATTAGCTCGACTCTGTATAGTACAGTAACATTCCAAAAAGAGCAAACAAAGTAAAATGCAAAAAGCAGTAAACTATAGTACACCTCACCTTGGCTGCTGTGGAATTCACACTTAGTTGCCAGCTAAGTGTTAATAACGCGACAAGGTGCAGGAGCCTGTAATAAGAGTCCGCAGGGCCACTGCCTACCCCCGCTGTAGTGCGGCAGTGGCCCTGCGCCTCAAGACAAGAAGGAGCACGAGCCTGTAATAAGAGCCCGCAGGTGATAGGGCAGGTCAGGGAGTGGACCTGACCTGGCGGCACAACACAAGCAGCTGTAGGACGCATGATGCTCATGAAGGTGCATGAGCTGGCCTAGAGGTCCCCAGTCACTGAGGTTGTGTGCCCTGCCTCGTACCTGCATGTTTCGTCGTTGTTTAATTGATAGGAACGACCATTTTGAGAGAGAGGAGGAGGGGGAGGGCGTGCAGAGAGGTGTGTATGTCCAGGGAGGTGGGGGCGCGCCGGGGGAGGAAGGCATGCAGGGAGGGGAGAGGAGGGCGCGTAGCGAGGGCAGCACATACAGAGTTATGAGGCTGACGAGGTTGTCGATGGAAGGGGGGATGGCGCCTGACAGGTTGTTGTTCGAGAGATCCCTGAAGGGAGGGGCGGTTGGGGTGGGTGAGAGAGGGCGACAGAAGGCAATGAGTGGGGGGATGAAATGACCAAGGGTGAATCTACCTTTAGAGACAGCAGGCAGGAGACAGCAGCTTTTGCAACTACAGAGCATACCTGCCACTCCAAACACCTGTTTGTTTTACAGTTGATTGATTCAAAGGCCTTTCAAGAGAGAGGGGCAGGACGTGCAGAGAGGAAGGCCCGTGTAGAAATGTGCAAGGAGGTTGGGCATGCAGGGGGGTGAAGGCATGCCGGGAGGGGAGGGAGGGGCACATAGCGAGGGGAGTACATACAGAGTTGCAACGCTGACGAGGCCGGAGATGGAAGGGGGGATGGCGCTTGACAGGTTGTTGCTTGAGAGATCCCTGAAGGAAGGGGCGGTTGGGGTGGACGAGAGGGCAACAGTCAGCAACAAGTGGTGGGCGGTTCAGTCGAAGTGTGCGTCTACCCTTGGGGACGGCAGGCAGGAGACAGCAGCTTCTGCCGCAACAGCCTCAGTGGACCTGAATCCCTCACAAGCCACAAAGCATACCTGCCACTCCCAAGTTGCAGTGCACCACTGGCGTTGTGTTGCAATGGCGGACAGTGCACCTACCCGCACATCGCACTCTCCCCCACACGCACTGCATGGATCATGAAGCTCACAGGTTTGTTAAGCTGGCGAGGCCCCCCAGGGCGGCGGGGATCGGGCCGGATATGGCGTTGTTGGAAAGCTCCCTGGGTGATGTGCGGTGCAAATGGATGCAGTGCATTGAGTGGAAGGGGGGGAAGAATGGGTGGGAAAGAATGAGTGGGGAAGAGTGAGGGGTGGAGGAATAAACTGGGGGCGAGGGAAGGAGGATGTCTTGCGGAGGGGAAGGAGGGGAGGTTCAGGGATGTGAACAAACGGGAGGGAAAGAGGTGCGTGGGGGAGTAGATGGGAAGGGGTGGATGGAGAGCAGGGGGTGGTTTCACGCACAGTCCGTGCAGATTGGTCAGTTGGGAGAGGTCGTCGAGGCTGCCACTGAGAGAGTTGTGGGAAAGGCGACTGGAGAGCAGATGGGGCGAGCAGAGAGGGGTTGGTGTGTGATGAGAGGAGCAGGAGGAGATTGGTGCATGCGAGTGCTCAGAGATGGGATGTGTGATGAGAGGAACAGGCGTTGGGTGAGAGTTGTGAATGTGAGGCGTGGTGCAGTGTGGTGAGTTGTGGTGGGGTGTGCACCTAAAGAGCGGTGTGAGTTCGAGAATTCTCTAAAGCGACCTGAATACATAAAGCGTTGCAACGTTATCAAGACCATATTCAAGATATTCAAAAGCCACCTGCAACGTTGCATGCGTATGGCAATAGGGAAGAGAAATGGGGGACTCTGAGCGACTGGAGTCTCTTCCGTACAGCCATGTGAGCTTCTGCAGCAGAGCAATGGTGCTTGGAATGGATCCCTCAAGCTTGTTGTCGTTCAGGTAGCTGGACTTGTCAGGTGGAATGGGGTGAAGAGGAAGCGATAGTTTTGTTAGGAAATGTATGGGCTTACATAGTTCAGCTAGGATGGAGGTTCGGTTGGAAACCTTGACAACAATATTGGGCCCCTCACCAATAAGTTGGGTTGAGGAGTTATTGCAGGGACCAATAATGTTGACCAAAGTGGATCAACATATTGAGGGGGACAATAATCTCCCAACCCAACCTTGAGGGCCTAATATTTAGGTCAAAATTGAGTTCCAACCCCAAACTAGGGTTAACCCTAATTGTACACCCAAACGAAGTTTGGATGTCTAACATTAACCAAATCTTGTAGGATAGATGCAGGTTACAATGAAGAGGATAATCTGACACAACCGACGTAGTAACCACCTCTCCCACAAGCTCGTGAGAACATACATGTTAACACCAATCTGCACCTTTCTCACTACTGTTGGAGTAGGCTAGAGCTTGCTCTGGTATTTATTATGATGTTCTCTGTTTTTTTTCCCATGTTTAAAGCAAGTTACATTTTAAGGTTCAGTTTAGGTTCATTTCTTAGCTTTTGGCAATTCAATTGGAGTTTTCTTCTTCAATTGTACCTCGACACTCTACTAGTACAATATTTCGCTCACTATCTTCTCTCACGGCAGCCACGGCTCCCTTTGACCTACACTAAACAACTACCCACTCCGTGCAAACTAACTCGCGTGTCCCCCTCCTTCCTTCCCTCCCTCCCTCCCTCCTCCTCTCACTAGTCTTCCTCCCTCCCTCTTTCCCTCCCTCCTCCCTCCCTCACAGTTCAAGGAGGTTCGTCAAGGCGCCTATAGAAGTGGGTATAGCTCCTGTCAGCTTGTTGTTGGATAGCTCACTAGGCGAGGGATCAGAAAGAGGGCTCAGAACAGAGGAGAGACAAAGGGTGGAGGGGTAAGTGTGTACACACTAAATGGGGGGCATAATGAAAGGAAGAGCAAGGATGAAGCATGGAACCAAAATTGGAGAAGGTAAATTGTGGGTGGAGGAGAGGAGGAGGGGGAAAGGAGGGAATGGGGAAGGGACGAAGGGAGAAAAGTGCTGTGCAGTGCAGTGTGGTGTGGTGCGGTGCTCACAGTTTCTCTAGAGCAGAGAGGTCGCCAATGTCAGCAGGAATAGAGCCTGAGAGCTGGTTGTCATAGAGCATGCTGGGGTCGGGCAACGGCAGCCAGCAGGGTGTGATGGAGGGAGGGAGGGAGGGAGGGAGGGAGGGAGGGAGGGAGGGAGGGAGGGAGGGAGGGAGGGAGGGAGGGAGGGGGGGGGGGGGAGGGAGGGAGGGGGGGGGGAGGGAGGGAGGGGAGGGAGGGAGGGAGGGAGGGAGGGAGGGAGGGAGGGAGGGAGGGAGGGAGGGAGGGAGGGAGGGAGGGAGGGAGGGAGGGAGGGAGGGAGGGAGGGAGGGAGGGAGGGAGGGAGGGAGGGAGGGAGGGAGGGAGGGAGGGAGGGAGGGAGGGAGGGAGGGAGACATCGAGGGAGGGAGGGAGGGAGGGAGGGAGGGAGGGAGGGAGGGAGGGAGGGAGGGAGGGAGAGGTAGGGAGGGAGGAAGGGAGCGAGGGAGGGAGGGAGGGAGGGAGGGAGGGAGGGAGGGAGGGAGGGAGGGAGGGAGGGAGTGAGGGAGGGAGGGAGGGAGGGAGGGAGGGAGGGAGGGAGGGAGGGAGGGAGGGAGGGGGGAGGGAGGGAGGGGGGGAGGGCGGGAGGGGGGGAGGGAGGGAGCGGGGGAGGGAGGGGGGGGAGGGAGGGAGGGAGGGAGGGAGGGAGGGAGGGGAGGGAGGGAGGGAGGGAGGGAGGGAGGGAGGGAGGGAGGGAGGGAGGGAGGGAGGGAGGGAGGAGGGAGGGAGGGAGGGAGGGAGGGAGGGAGGGAGGGAGGGAGGGAGGAGGGAGGGAGGGAGGGAGGGAGGGAGGGAGGCAGGAGGGAGGGAGGGAGGGAGGGAGGGAGGAGGGAGGGAGGAGGGAGGGAGGGAGGGAGGGGGGGAGGGAGGGAGGGGGGGAGGGAGGGAGGGGGGGAGGGAGGGAGGGGGGGAGGGAGGGAGGGGGGGAGGGAGGGAGGGAGGGAGGGAGGGAGGGAGGGAGGGGGGGAGGGGGGGAGGGGGGGAGGGGGGGAGGGAGGGAGGGGGGGAGGGAGGGAGGGAGGGAGGGAGGGAGGGAGGGAGGGGGGGAGGGGGGGAGGGGGGGAGGGGGGGAGGGAGGGGGGGAGGGGGGGAGGGAGGGGGGGAGGGGGGGAGGGAGGGGGGGAGGGGGGAGGGAGGGGGGGAGGGGGGGAGGGGGGGAGGGGGGGAGGGGGGGAGGGGGGGGGAGGGAGGGAGGGAGGGAGGGAGGGAGGGAGGGAGGGAGGGAGGGAGGGAGGGAGCGAGGGAGGGAGGGAGGGAGGGAGGGAGGGAGGGAGGGAGGGAGGGAGGGAGGATGGATGAAGGAGAGGGTGTGACAATAGAATCTGGGTGGGGTCTTTGGGAGTTAAGAGAGGTCGATGCTCATGGGATGAAATATATGCTAGCAGTTCTGGTGGCTACGCCTTGACAGGTGAGTGTGTGGGGACACGGACAGGTAGTATAGATTAGTGTGGGAAGAGAGGACGGCAGGGATGGTCCCTTCCAGCTCGTTGTTGCCCACGGACCTGCGAGCAGCACACAGCATGCAGCACGAAGTAAACACAATCACACACTAGCTGTGTGGAGAATAACTCAAGTTTGAGTGAAAGAAAAGCCCAAGCAGTGCCAAGCGGTTGATTCTCTCTACGCTGAGATGTGCGCAGGAGGGAGAGTGATGGACAGTTGTGGCGTAAGCCTGAGGGAAGGAGGCACCCGCGGTGAGGTTGTGAGGGCGCGGGATAAGGCGGGGGACTGACAGGTGGCCCAGGTTGGTGAGGGTACTCATGGCGTCAGGGATGGTGCCTCCCAGCCTGTTGTTCTCCAGAGCCCTGTGATGAGCGCATTCAGAGGACCAAGGGGATCCTTGAGTTTTGAGTGGAAAACGATTGGAATGGAAAGGTTGAGAGAGAGGTTGCAGATGAGGTGTGCAGGGCACAAGGAATAAGAAAGCATTGGAAAAGTGATAGCATATTCATGCATGCATAAAGCAGTGCAGTATAATGTGAGTGTAGAGTTGCAAGAGAGTGTGGTATGGACTGGCTGCCAGGGACAGGGAGAGAGACGTGGTTCCACTGACTGGCCCTCGAGCTGAACCAAGTTGCCCATTTTTGTGAAAATGCTTTTCGTGAGCATGTTGTGAGGCATGGCATGGGAGTGAGGCATGGGCAGGGCCACTTTTTAATAACTTATCCAAGCAGTCTAAGGGCGTGTGTCTTTTGTAAAATTGGGCCAAGTTCATGTTTTTTTTGTCAAACTTTCACATTTGAACTTTGGTCGACCTGTGCTCGACCACCTCGACTTTTGGTGGTCAAGGAACACCGTCAACAAGCCAGAGTCGCGCATGGAACAACAAAGTTCGACCATTAAAGTTCAACTTTGAACAGTAAATACCGAGTCGCACTACATTTTCGTAGGTTACACGGATTCGCAGTGCTGTTCGTAATTGTATCCGGATTAGGTAACACTATAATCTGTACCCGCAACTGTCGCAAAACTTGCAAAATGTTTGTGCGGCGCTAAAGAACACACGAATGGATTCACGTAAAAGAAAAAATCCAAATGCAAGTTTGAACTCGCGATCTTACCACTCGAAGGGATAAGTTAACTAGCTGAATCACACCATAACGTTTGACATTCAGAAAAAAATGGTTGATAATTTTTCACCATGATACAGTCAAGCCACAACAATGGTTAGCCTGTATTAGTCGGTCTACCAAAAACATACCCTAAGCCATCAGGGTGGGCCACGCTGAAACCCTGATTAGCCAGGGTGGCTTAAATCCAACATTGGGCCCCGGGCATGGACTGCCTTGTTGTCTATGAGTGCTTGGCTGACAATGATTGGCACACTTACATGATTTTGAGGGATGTGAGGGTACTTATGCTGGGAGCGATGGCACCGGACAGCTGGTTGTTGGAGAGATCGCTGCGACAAGGGACATGCGGGCCATGGGAGGTGGGGGGTAATTGGGGCGTTGGCATGGCACGTGGGGGGTATGGTGACAGCATGGGAATGAGAAATGGCAAGGGAGGGAGCCATGGGTTGCTTGGTGGCCAATGGCAGGCACACTTAAAGTTCTTGGAAGGCCGTGAGGGCACTTACAAGGGCTGATCACTACAGTATCTACGTGAGGACCAAGGCAGCACACACCTAAGGCAACACTGCCCTTCCATGCACCACACACAACGGGTTGCTGGATCGTCTATGGTTGCTAAGGGTCATAAAAAATCGTTTCAGATCACCTGTTCCTTATGTGGGTAACGATTTGATTGCATGAAGGTGCGCACGTAACTTCCAATATTCATTTATGTGGGCGGTGCATGGCTGATGAAGACGCTTGAGATCGTCATTCCCTGGTTCGGAGCTCGAATTGAAGCTCCAAATCCCTTCACGAGTTGCACCATCAGCTCTTTTAGTGAAGCAGTTTTTGACATCAGATTTGTTTTAGCTAATATCGTTTGTTACTTCAGTTCTTTCAAGCTCAAGCGCTTTCTCATGTTACCTATGGTTGATGCCCTTCCAAGCATGAGTGACAATGGCCATGTTGCTCGGTTGTCTATGGTTGCCAATGACTGGCACACTCACAGGTACCAAAGGTCTGTGAGGGCGCCTATGGCAGGGGGAATGGCACCAGACAGCTGGTTGCTGTAGAGAAGGCTGCAACGACGGACATGCAGGCTAGGGGAGATGGGGAGTGATTGGGACGTTGGCACGTGGGAGGTATGGTGACAGCATGGGAGTGAGGCATGGCACGGAAGTGAGGCATGGAATGGGAGTGAGGCATGAGTTGCTTGGTGATGAATGCTTGCTTGGAGGCCAATGACTAGCACTCTCACAGGTACGAAAGGGATGTGAGGGCGCCTATGGCGGGGGGAATAACACCAGACAGCTGGTTGTCGGAGAGACCCCTGTGACAGGGAGCATACGGGCCAGGGGAGATGGAGAGTGATTGGGACGTTGGCATGGCACGTGGGGGGTATGGTGACATGACAGCATGGGAGTGAGGCATGGCACGGGAGTGAGGCATGGTTGCTTGGTCCCCAATGGCTGGCACACTCACAGCTCTCGTAGGGCCGTGAGGGCGCCTATGCCAGGTGGAATGGCACCAGACAGCTGATTCTCAGAGAGATCTCTGGGGACATGCGGGCCATGGGAGATGGACGGGCGTGGAGAATTGGCATGAGACGATGCTGCTCTGCCCAATGCTGCTCTGCCCCATGCTGCTCTGCCCCGTGCTGCTCTGCCCCATGCTGCTCTGCCCCATGCTGCTCTGCCCCATGCTGCTCTGCCCCATGCTGCTCTGCCCCATGCTGCTCTGCCCCATGCTGCTCTGCCCCATGCTGCTCTGCCCCATGCTGCTCTGCCCAATGCTGCTATCCACTTTTGCACTTCCCAAAGCTGCGGTGCCCACCCACTGTCGTGTTGCTCAATGCAGCATTTCGACCAACAATGGGTTGCCTAATGCCGCGCTGAATGATGCTTCGTTGCACAACGTTGCACTGCCAATGCTGCGTGACCAAATACTGCCATGCACAGTAATGTGTGCACACTGCTGCGTTTCTCAATGTTGTGCTGGCAAATGCTGCACAGCCAGATGCGTTACCAACCCGATACTGCACTACCAATACTGCATTGCCCACCCTTGCCTGCCTGCCTCTTACAGGTAGACGAGCGAGGTGAGCATGCTGAAGGATGCCGGGATGGAGCCCTCTAAGTCGTTGTGCCGCAGACTTCTGCGCGGGTTGCAGCACAGCACAGCACAGCACAGCACACAGAAAGTGAGGAGCAAAGAAACAGACGGTGAGAATGGGCAAAGGGGTGGATACGGCTAGGGAGAATGTGGATGCACACAAAGGATGACAGCACAGAGGGTGTGGGATGGGGCAATTAGCGGGGACGGAGTATGGAGGGCAGAGACAGGGAGGGAGGAATACCGCTGGTGAGGAGCCTGAAATGGGTCGCAGCATAGGTCGCAGCACAGCAGAGAAGGGGTGAGGCGTGACGAATAGAGGGATGGAGAATGGGGTGAGTGAGACACGATAAATAGAGAGACGGATGAAGAGATACCCATTTTAACCTCAGAGTGTTTCGTCCCCCAAAGGTGTTTCAGGGGAGATGGATGAGGAGTGCGTGGAAAGGGCTACTGCTGGAACGGGCTACTGCTGGACAGGAAAGGGCACACACAGGATGTACAGAGTGGTGAGAGAAATGCACAGACAGCTGAGAGCCGTTTAGAAAGCTGCGAGATGTACAGGTGTGTGAGAGAGGTGAGAGTGCCAAGTGATGATGGGATGGATCCAGTTAATTGTGGCAACTCAATCCACCTGTTGTGTTGTGTTGTGTTGAGCGCACACAAGCACACTTGCACACATGCACACACACAAGCAACCACACACACAGACACACACCCGCACGCACGCACGCATGCATGCACACACACACAGACACACTCACACACACACACACACACACACACACACACACGCGCGCGCGCATGCACCGAACAGGCACAGAAGCAGCAGAAGAGTGAAGACAGCTACAGGTAACAGCACACTGACGAAATGTCAGTGCCCATTGTGGCACACTGAAGATCTCCCCTCCCCCTCCCTCCCTCCCTCCCTCCCTCCCTCCCTCCCTCCCTCCCTCCCTCCCTCCCTCCTCTCCTGCATCTCCTCCGTCCTACCCGTCACCATATCGCGAATCAGGGATGGGCGAGTTGTCGATCCACATTTCAATAATGAGCCCGTTGGCGTCGCATCTGATTAGATCCGCCGTGTCACAGTCGCCCCCCACCCGCCACTCAGGCGGAGGGAAGACGTTTGCACCATAGCCCCACTCGTAGGAGCCCCATGCTGCAGCGCACTCCTCCAGCACCCGCGCTGCCAGGGGCTCGTGGGGAACGGGGGAGGAAGGGAACAGGCGGGGGGGAGGGAGGGGGGAGGGAAGGGGGGAGGAGGGCCGAAGAGGGCAGACGAGGAGAAGCGAGGGGTGAGGTAGGGGGAAGGGAGGATGAAGGGACGGGATTAAGTTGGGTTGAGTATTGAGCCAGCAGTGTGCATTTAGGGACGGGGTGTGAACGAAGCCAGAAAAGAGGAATAGCAGCGAGAGAGCATAGCAGCGTGGGAGCATAGCAGCGCGGGAGCATAGCAGCGAGGGAGCATAGCAGCGAGGGAGCATGGCAGTGAGGGAGCATAGCAGCGCGGGAGCATAGCAGCGAGGGAGCATAGCAGCGAGGGAGCATAGCAGCGCGGGAGCATAGCAGCGCGGGAGCATAGTAGAGAGGGCTTGAAACAGCTTGGTAGATGTTCGCCATGGTGGGGGTTGTCTTGTGGGGTATCATGCCCCAGGCATGACAGGGAAGAGGAGGGCGGGAAGAAGGGGGGAAGAGAGCAGCAGTGAGATTGGGGAGTGGAAGAACAAAAGGGAGAGAGGGAGAGGGATGGAACTAGAGAGGGGGGGAGATAAATCAGCGGGAAAAAGGAGGCTGTGGATGGGGTACAGAGGGTAAGAGGGGGAGAATTGGAGAGAGCAGGAGAGGTAGGGGGGAGTGTGGTAGAGTTGGGAAATTGAGAGTCGAGGAGAGGTGCAGGTAGGAGGAGGAGCGGGCGACCTTGGGCGTCGTTGATGCGAGTGGCGGCAGCAGGGCACGGCGGCAGCAGAAGCAGCCCCGCCAGCAGCAGCAGCGGCAGGCGGAGGTGCAGCAGCGGCGAAGGCAAGGAGAAGGAGAAGGAGAAGGAGAAGGAGAAGGAGAAGCTGCGCCGGTCTCGCTCGCCCATCACTCTCGAGAAAGAAAGGAGGGCAAGACGTGGTAAGCTGAGCAATGACTGCAGTCGACATCAGAAATATGTAGAAGGCGTTTTGGATCGTAAACGCCTTCTTCTGCGTGGTTTGTGTTGAGCGAACCGTGATTGACCCCCAGGGCAATAAACCACCCAGGGTATTGCCCTTTGTGATCCGAAAACGGAGGGGGGTCCGAACCAGCATAAACTCCCGTTTGTTCAGCTACAGTGTTGGAGTGTAAGCTGGGGTTGATTGGGTTTGTCCGGTCGTATACGATCGTACACAACTGCGGAGTTCAGGGCGTAGAGGAGGTGAGGGGTCCATGTCAAAAGTTAGAAGAAGGAAAGAGGGAGGATTGAACTAGCAAGAATGAGGATACAAATAGCAAACCCTAGAAGGGTTGTACTCGCTATAGAGCACCCCACTACAGGCTAGAACAATAAGATAATATTCTGACACACCCCCATAGCCAAAGTGGGGTGTAATCAGCAGTGTAGGCAAAACAAAACAAGCTCAGGGTGGATCACAATGTCACCACACATTCTGAGCACAAGTTCAAGAAGAAATAGTTCATGGTTCACAATTATAAGCAAAACTAGTGGTGGTCACAACGGGCAAGTGAGGAGGAGGAGTGAGAGCGAGAGGAGTTGGGAGGCGACAGCTGAAGCTGCAGACACACGGGCAACAGGAGGCACACTGGCACAGCGGCTACCGGGCGACGCCCCCGGACTACTGGAGTAACTGGCCCCGCGGCTAAAGTAGCGGCAGACGAGCAACGGACCCACGGGCGGCTGGCACAGCTGGCTACGACTGGGCTACCGGGCGAAGCCCCCGGAATACAGGTGTTGCTGACGACAAACTGGCAACCTCCACTCATCCTCCCGCACACAGTCCCACCCCCCTCATACACACCCACTGCTACACCACTAGCTCTACTCCCACACACCCCCCTAGCACCACTCCTTCGTCTCCCACACACCCACCCCCCTCAGCGGCAGCTGCAGCAGTGGGAGACGGAGGAGGAGGAGGAGCAGGGGACCGCGCACACCCGCCACCCCCATACCCGTCACCCCCATACCCTGAGTGTGCGGTAGGCGAGCTCAGGTGTGCGCGAAGCATGCACAAGCGTGCGGGAAGCAAAATCGGGTGTGCGGGAAGCGAACTCGGGTGTGCGGTAAGCAAACGCAGGTGTGCGGGGAGGGGGGGGGGGGGGGGGGGGGGCCGCAGGGCGACACGCGGGTCGACGGGGATGGGCACACCGGTCGCCGGAGGCGGCGCGCGGGTCGACGGGGCCGCCACTAAGGGCGAAAGGGAGCCTCGCGCGGGTTGACGGGGACGCCGCGAAGGGCGACGAGGAGCCGCACGCAGGTCGACGGGGACGGGCGTGCGGGTCGACGGAACGCGAAACCGCCGCGTGCGCCCAGGGTGCGCGGTGGGCAGAAAACCGCCACGCGTCCTGAGCGCATGGCGTGCAGAATACCGCCGCGCGAAGCAGGAAACCGCCGCGCGCCTCGGGGCGCACGGTGGGCAGAAAACCGCCGCACGCACTGAGCGCGCGGTGGGCAGAAAACCGCCATGCGCCCCGAGCACGTGGCGGGAAGAAAAAAAAAAACTGCCGCACGCCACGGGGCGTGCGGCATAGAGAGTAGCAGTAGCAGTTGCAGCGGAAGCAACGAGGTGGTGAGCCCACCCAGAGGATCGATCCAAGGGGATCGACCTGCTCTGATAGCATGTCAAAATTAGAAGGAAGAAAGAGGATTGAACTAGCAAGAATGAGGATACAAATAGCAAACCCTAGAAGGGTTGTACTCGCTATAGAGCACCCCACTACAGGCTAGAACAATAAGATAATATTCTGACAGTCCACTGCGATTTGCACCTCCCTCAATTTATGGCGAGTTGACCTGTGCAAACCACCGTTTACGATGGTCAACCTTCCCCAGCAGAAACACGCAAAGCGCTACTGTTACTACCTCGTAACCAGTTTTGGTTACCTAACAATAATACACTTGAAGACAGTATATTATTGTTAATAATTCAAATGCTAAGAGTGGGGTATCCTGGTAACCAGATTGGGATTACCTCCAGTGCGAACATAAGCATTATATAAGATTGGACGGTAATTTGAAAAACAGTGCTTGCATTATTTACGAAGTTTTTACAAACCCCAACTTTGATGATGGGCAGATCATTATTTATCAGTGATTAACACAAATTTTAGACAGAAACATGCATCCATGTAAGATCCTAACCAGAACAACACCCCAGCTAACAACACCTCAGCTACTTCGAAGGGAGAAGTCAACTAAACATCAACACAGAAACCACAATAAAAACACTAACGAAAACAAAATCACGAGTTAGAACGTCAAATGAGATACTTCAAAGAAATGACAAACGAGTTACACGCAGTGACGGGTTAGGGTATCTTACGACGCACGAGCATACGGTTAAAACGAATTGAGCAATAATCAGTCTGTTTCACAAAGACAAGACGAAGATAGCATTTAGTCCATCTTCGAAGGCAACTTACCGAAGAGAAATATCCGACCTGCGAGCTGCACAAACGATCCGGTGAAACCACGACATAAGACAGCGAAGAAGGTACACTGAACAAAAAAATCGTCCTTTAGTTTTCGTAATCTACGTTAAACGACGCTTTTCACTAATATAGTTGAGTGCTTTTGTGTTTCTTTTCCGTGCATGTATCGCGTCACGGTGTTACCAGTTTGTGTTGGTGACCACTAGCCCCCAGTCCCGCGATATCTCTCTGCAGTGCAATTTCCCTCTCGACACCCCACACGGACAGTTTCTTCCAAAACCCCCCGAGCGTCATTTCGTTAGTAGTTAGTTCTTCTCTAGTTAGGTTTTTAGCACATCTCGACCTCTGTCGACGCCCCACGCGTAGCGGAACGACCCCCGCAGCATGAGGCGCCTTAGTGTCGAGAAACAGAGGCAGATCATGACGCGTATTGCAGAGGGGCGAAGCTTTCGTAGTATCGCGAAAGAGTTAGGCGTATCGAAATCCGCCGTCCACGACGAGCTCCTACGTCACCTCAACAAGAATACATACGAGGAATTAGTACCTTCCCCGGCGAAACCAGGTCGTCCACGCAAGCTGCCAGAGAAAATCGAGCGGATAGTTGTTAGATCGATAGTTTGTGGCGAGTCGAAATCCGCCGAGGCGGCCGCGGAAATGCTAGCTTCGACTCACGGCATTAGCGTCACTGGCGCGACCGTTCGAAACACTCTCAAGCGGCATAGCGTTAAGGCGATAGAGAAGCCCTCGAAGCCTCGTTTATCCGAAAAAAAACGTTAAGGACCGGCGGCAGTGGGCCAGGGACCATCAACATTGGACGGTTGATGACTGGAAACGGGTGATATTTAGTGACGAAACGAAGATTTGCCGCTTTAGTAGCGACGGCCGTAGTTGGGCGTGGATTCGCGGTGATTGTCCTATGGAGCCGCACCATGTGAAACAGACGGTGAAACATGGTGGCGGCTCCATCATGATTTGGGGCTGCATGACGTACGAGGGCGCGGGTTTCATGTGTAAGATAGAGGGGAGGATGAACGGGGAGTTATACTGTTCAATCCTCAAGGACGAATTGCAACAGACCATCGAGCATTACGAGCTAGACCCCGAGGCAGTAGTTTTCCAGCATGACAACGACCCGAAGCATACATGCAAGATGGTGCAATCCTACCTAGCCGACCAGCCCTACGCAGTCCTCCCATGGCCAGCAAGCAGTCCTGACCTGAACCCCATTGAGCACCTGTGGGTTTACTTGAAGAAGCAGCTTCTTACCTACCCCCGTCCCCCTGCAGGCATTCTCGAGCTATGGGATAGGGTTCAAGATGAATGGGAGAAAATCCCTGCATCCTGGTGCAGTGAGCTGATTGAAAGTATGCCTAGGCGTGTGCGCGCAGTGCTCAAGGCCAAGGGTCGCTGGACCAAGTACTAGATTCTGAGGCGTATGACTGTAAAACTGATTTTCGAAAAAAATGTCCAGATGGTACTATTTGCTTATTTCTGTATCTAATGCTTGTTCACCAGTTATTATGACCTTGAACCCTTATCAGACGATGTATAACCCACTATGCTTTAACCCTCAACAGGCCATTTATTAAGGCTTAATCCCTGTAGAGAGTAATGCACATTTTTGTTCAAAAACAAAAACATGTAGACAATTTTTTCTGACAGTGTAGGTGTGGGGTGAACGACGAAAACAAACAGACAGCGTTAAGAAAAAACGGAAACTGAAACCATGAACTACAGCAGCTTTAACATTAAGAAGACGCAACACCGAAGGCAACACAAACCACGATCGCTCACCTGGTGACAAATAACGCTTCAGTGTCAGATCGTCGCAGCCATTGTAATTAACGGACTAAATACGCGGGATATGAGCTGGAAAAAAAAAAACTCGCTCGACAAAATTAAGGTGTTGCTTGCGTGGC